GGGGGGGTAGGGAGGAAGGATCCATATCTGTTAGCTGCTGGAAATCAGCCAGCTCAGTTCACCTTGGAGAACATCCCTTTGGCAAATTTCTAATTTCAATAAGGGTCATGGCCTGGTAATTCCCTACTATGACTGTTTCTGACTACGCTTCCCCAATCTTTGCACAAGGCTTCTCCAGGATGAAAGTAGCTGTTTTCTTTTCATTCATTCACATTCATTCACTCTTTTCCAGCATCATCTTCCCACCAGAAGCCCTCTTTATCTGCAAAGTCTCACTAAAAAGGCTCCTTTGGAGGCTTCCTGGCATTTTGTTGGGACAACCAACTATGCTTGACCGTGGCAGGGCAAGGAGGCTGATGTTCTGCAGCTCTGGAGCCCCCTAGCGGGATGCTCCCTACTTGATCTGAATTAACCAACAAAACCACTTACCAGGATACTCTAGCACTGGGGCTTGTTAACAGAAAAATTGGGGAGCCTTTCCAGAGGCTACACTGTAGTTCAAAGGAATTCATTCAGGGAAACCCTATGGCCTCTTACAGGAAGTCAGACTAGACTATTACTGAGTGCCCTTCTGGCTTTACAACCTATAGGTCTAGGGCGCAATGAGTCACTCCTACAGGGAACTTTCCCTTGGCAACCTTACATTTAAATCAGTGGCGCACAGAATTAGGAAGCAGGTATGCTTGTCTTTATTTTCATCTCTCATTTCAGAGCAGGCCACCACCTGCAGTAGCCTAATAGCACAAACACCGCTGACTCAATTTCTAGCAGACCCTAAAAACATTAACGAGAGTTTGGCAAGGGCACGGAGGGGGTCACTTCCTTATTCGTGTCTTGACAGCATTAGCACCTCTGCCATAACAGCCATTTAGTAAATTTACATTTCCTTTCTAGGCACACAACACAAACTTACTACTTTGGTCTGGGTTCTACACTAAAACAGATGCAGTAGCTGCTGCAATTTCTCCTTGGTTATTTAAACAAAATCCAAAGTTTTTAATCAAAGCAGATACTCTGAATATTCCTCTCACAATATGAGCATCTACAGTAAAGTTAGATACGGAGGCTTAAGTTCCTTTGACTATTTTATTCACAGATTATTTTTTTTTTAAGGGAAATGGACAAACAGCTTGTTGCTTTTTTCAGGGAGGAAAAAACCACTATTCATTTGCTGAAGCAATATAAAACTCCCCAGAACAATGTGGTTTGCTCCACCTGGTTTTGGTTTTTGCTTTGTATTTTTATTTCTGACAGAACAACTTTGGAGGCTGCGTTTACCTTTGCCACCTGTGGCACATGTAGTGATCTAACAGGCAATTAGTCACATCTTTACACAAAGCAATAATGCAGGGGCTGTTATAGGGAATGTGATGGCTCAAGTTCTTCAGAGATGGAAAAAGCAAGCTATTTTGGATATCACTAGTGACGGAGAGGCAGGGAAAGGGAAATATGGAACTTCAACCAGAACATGGCCTGTAACCAGTTAACCTGGCTGGACGCTCTTCCAGGAAGAGAACTTGCTGATGTTACTGCCATATACAGCTTTCAAGGGGGTTAGAAAGAGACAAGCTTAATTGTGAGCAAGGGAGGCAGGGGGGTTCTTCAGAGAAAGGATGCATTTCAATAGAGAGAGTTCACATAGCCACGAACAGGGAAACAGCACTACACAGTCATATAGATGCTGCTTCAAATTCTCTCCTTTACAGCCTATTTCCTACTGGAGTTGTAGACCACATGTAACTTCAGAGCCCTCCAGAGACCTTTTGGCTTGTGTTAAAGTCCTTCCTGTGAACCATTAAGTTTAATTAGGCTACCGGTGTTTATTTTACATGGAGAATGCATGTGGAGGAAAGGAGTCTGAAAACGCCGTGTATCCTTGTGTCTGCACCATTCTGGGTAGGTGCTAAGGAAAGAGGAATGTGAGCGGGCACCAACAGGAGCGTGGCTTCCTCTGACTTAGAGGAAGTAAGCAAAAGCCCCCCCCCACCCTTTAGCTCATGAGGTGGAAACCTGTCATCCAGGAAAACAGCAGGAGGAACTTACACTGAGCTGAAGAGCTGAGGGCGCAGGCACTCCTGTGCCTAGACAGAGCAGACGAAGAAAGAGCTGGACGCCTCCTATCCATAAGTGCCTCCACAGGAAAAGATTCTGCCCCTCCCTTCCCAGGGAGATGGAGTGAGAGACCCACTGCCAGGATCCTTCTCCCCAGCAAAGATTTTTGCATGAACTCTTTTGAACAGTCTTTAAATCTTGTCCAGTACAGGGAATTTCTTTGGCTATTTCAATATTTGCCAAGGAAGACCTTCTATATCCCCCCATTTGTCTTAATTTCAGCTCAGATTCCCCATTGTGGTCCCACAGGGCACAAGAAGGTACTTCTGCATTCACACATACATTTCCACATGGATGGCTATAGCTCTGCTAAGTGATATGACCTCATTTCCCACATTCCTTCTTCCTCCTACCAAGTCGATTCAACAAGAGAAACAGGTTAAGTCCTTTCCTTCTTATTTTGTCCTGACTTAACTACCAAAACCAACAAAACTGTGCAGCCAAGACAAAGGGACACACTGCAATTTGCATGCAATGAAAGAGATGTATAAATATCACAGGGAAAGTTTAGCACTCGAGTGCAATTAAACTTTGGAACATCTAACAGACAAGACTACGATAAGATAGAAAAGGTTCCTAGAGACAACAGGTCACCAGGAAGGCCAAGAGAAACTTAAACTGTAACGTGGATGCCATGCAATATACAGGCGGGACAACATCCTTGATCCAAGAAACTAGCTCTGTTCAAACCAGAACTTAAGTGCATATGTTGGGCAATTTAATGAATCAAGGCTCAACAGTCATTTTCACTTTTGAATTCAGACAATTACCATCATTTACATGATCAGATGAGGCGGCCACAACCATGACAGCTTGCAATCATTAAAAGACCTTACCATTCTTGTTAACCCTGACATGCTGGCCAAATGACTTGACTGGTCATTTCAGCACCAAAAGCTTTCCATCCCAAACCCTCTCCTGCAGTTTGAGACAATTTTACTATTATGGATGTAGTAAAGAAAATGACTTACCTACCACCTGCTGCTTATGCTAGCAATAGGTTCCATTTTATTAGATGTGAAAAGGGGAGAAAGTGTTAATTAAGGGGTTAAGCAAAAATATATTCTCCAGACTTCTGCTTCAGTTAGATTATTAATTTGTTCTGCTTCATAACGTGGTCAGAAGTGCTTCTGAGTTCTGCCACTGATGTAGAGAATGCCATCTTCTTAATTCTGCGTTTAGGGGAGACTCATGCATTTGTACAGCTCAATCAAACCTACAGCTGCAAGTTCCAAATCAAGAGTGCCCAAGGCACTTGTAACATGCCTCTTCCACAGTCAGTTTTAGTGCAGATAATTGAATTTTGACTCTTCTCCCTATCACTTTTAAATTAAGAAAGAAAAACGTCAAAAACAAAGAAGAAACTCACGTACACGAAGAATCCCAGGATGCCTTCTTCTTTAAAAATCCTGCTGATGGAGCTAAACACACCACTGCCAAGAAAGGGAAACAGATAGTCACAGAGCAACCATATGCTTTTACAACTACACTTACAATTAAGATGCTGTTGCCCAGACACCTGCTATCAGCAACCTCCAACACCAAAGAGGAGACTTGCCTCCATTCCTCAGAAATGATTCTCTTGCATGCTCAGCTAGGAATGCTGCTCTATTGAGGTAATGCTATTACTTGGCCCATGGTGCATGTGCTCACAGATAAAAGCAAGCTGTCACTTCTGATGCTGTTTGCTGGCTTATGGTAAATGCAAGACTGTCCACAATGGAAGCAGGGCCATACTAATTACAGCTGTGTTTAGAAAGTTGGGCTAGGAAAGCTCCAGCCTGCTTTCCATGACAGGCACAAAGAAATTACTTCTTGTTCAAAACCCAAGTCAGCCCACTGTGCTAAGGTACATATTCAGCATGGATTTGGCTAGCAAAGAGGACACCCAACCTCCCTATTTAGAGAAGCCATGCTACAAGTTACTGTTCAAATACAAATGTAGCAGGCACCCAGTGTCCTCACACACTCTCCAGGGTGAAGGGGGCACTTTAGTTAGAGAAGCTCCATGAGCCTCTCTAATTAAAGTGCCCGCAACACCGTATGTATTCAGTGTCCCATGCTTCAAAATGGCGGCGGAGGCACTTTAACTAAAACTTGACGAACAAGCTTTAGTTAAAGCACCCCCACTGGCATTTTGAATCGTGGGGACGCTGAATACACGCAACGTGGAAGCTGCTGGAGCGTACTAATTAGCACACTCTAGCAGACTCAATTAATCCAGTCTGCTCTGATGCACGGGAACAGATGTCTGGCATGTATATAGGTGCCCCAAGTGCAAGTCTCCGTTTACACTTTCAGATGAAGGATTATAGATTCCTCTGTGAAGAGTGTCTTTCTGCCTGTGTCCTACCTATGGCCTTGTTGAGACAGCCTTGCAGAAAGTTGTCAGACAAGCCATGCTAGCAGTGAGGGCATGAATCAGACACCACCTGGTCCTTTTCACCCCCTTGCTATTATAAAGCATAGTTTGGGTTGCCCATTAAAGGTAAAAACCAAAGCAACTGGAGTGCATCCACCTACAGCACCGTGTCAACAAGGGATACTACAGTCATGGTAGAAGCCAGAGGCAGGAGGTTGGAACAAAGGGATACACAGAAAGGAAAGGACCTGAAGCTTTCCTGCTCAAGGTCATCAGCTGGGCCATCCAAGCCCTACGCAAAGCACAGATAGGCATAATATTCTTGACTCTGTAAACCTCTGCATGACCTTGAGTGTTGCTACTTCAGCTTCTCAGCTCAGCATGAAGAAGGAATAGAGCATAATGCTCCCAACTCCAAGTCTGGTGCTTTAAATATTATCGCTTATGTGCCAGAGCCATTTACCTGTATTTGACTTCCCGGCCTACAAACTGGACCATACAGCGCATAGAGATTACTGCAAAGAAAAGCAAAACAAAGAGGTCTATAAGCAGCAGGTTAAGTTGACTTACCTTCCCTTTAAAAAAATAAAATAAAAAATGAACAGGACTGTGGTCACGAAGGGAAAGTGACAGGGAAATCAGATGTGCAACTCCCATTGTCTACCTTCATCACCATGAGCACTTGAAAAAAGTAGCCATAACCACCCAAGCCTAAGAGAAATGAGGGATCCCAGGTCATCATCCAAACCCAGAACTCACTGTATAAGCTACCAAGCAAGTAATAAGAGACAGCCTCATTTCTTAGCACTTTGACTATCCTATCAGGATGCCATGTATTCTCTCTCTCTCTCTCTAATGCTAGTAGCTCATGCTCTTCTCCTAGGTTCATGTTCTAGGAACCATTTTTAGTTAGAAAGAAATACCTTAAAATGATTAAAAGAGAACAGATATGTAACAGATGTGTAACAGGCAGTCAACAAGCTGTCATGACACGCAAGCGCATGCTACAGACCAAAGGAACCAGGCTTACCATGTAAGGGGTGAGAAATAACACGGGACATGCACTGCATCAGCATCTCGTGAGAGGTCTGGTGGAAAAAACAAAACCCAAACCCACCATGTTAAAAGCCACAAACCAGCTGACTGCATTATAAGGAATGGGCAGTTGCATGCCGATTGTAAGATTCAGTTGCAGTGATATGACATCGAAGAATCACAGAAAACAAGAATCCAAGGGGTTTAGTCCAACCACTAGCTCAAGGCAGGATGAATGAACTGATGTTTGTCTAGTCCACTGCTAAAACCTTCCAATGATGGAGACTTCTAGGCAGCCCATTCTAGTGCTTAACTAGTGCTTAAACGTTACAGTTTTTTCCTGTCCAAATTAAATCTCCTTTGTCACAATTTAAAATTGGTGACCAAAGAGAAACAATGCTCTGTGAGTTAAACAGATTTATTTCCTCACTCAGTAGGACTATCTTATGCCAACTGTGATGCTTAATTTTGCAAAGCTTTCTGGAGCCAAAGGAATGGAGATCCAGTCCTGTGAAGAACATCTACATCCTTGGGATGAGGACAACAGCACACTGCCCCTCCCACCCAAAAACCCCACCTTTCAAACACAGTCAGCTATTGGGTGTTTGGTGGAGGTCTTTTCAGTCTGCTCTTGCACCTGTCATCAGATTTCCTCTTAGGCTCTATAAGTGTCAAGACCTGGATACTGGGTGAAAGAGACTGAGAGACATTTTTTCCTCCTTATTAGAGAAATCAGGTTTAAAGGATTTGCAGAACGCAATCTACACTAAACTGACCATGGTAAGCCTCTCAGTACTATTTGTATTAAATATTTAAATAGCCAAGTCCAGAGAGACACCCCTGTTCAGCATCAATATCTTGGTATATGTTGAGAATTTTTCTGAATAAACTTTACCCATACCAGATCTGCATACTTGCTGAGCCTCTAGGGCATCTATCTCCATTGTAAACTCTCTAGATTATTTATTAACATGCAATATTCATAAGATGAGATGCTCTCAAACCCTGCACTTGATAAAGGTTTAATGAGGAGAAAATACTCGGCAGGTTCCCACCTCTTTCACCACTTTCCTGAGGGAAGTCTTCATATCATCCTTGTTAGAAACATGCTCCATGTCCTCCAAAGGAAAGGCCTGGATAGAGAGAGATTAATCAAATTAAATGTCTCCACAGATGCCCATCTATGAGCCCCCAGCAGCTGATGCCAGAAGCAAATGGTAACTGTTCTGTGCTCAGAACTAACCACAAAAATCAACAACAGCTTGATCAAAATCAGAAAAGCTCATTCTCTAACAAGCATAAAAAGGAATTTTAAGGTCACTGATCAGCTCTTGAAGCATTACCAATGCCTTGCTAAGGCAAGCTTCTGCTAGCTAAAATTTGGATATATAGGCATTTTTCATGACTTAATGTTAAATGGTATGACAACAGGATGAGCCCAGAGCTCCAAGCCTCCCCCCACTGTTCTTGTCGCATGTCTGCAAGAAACAGCCTAGATTTTGCCCTCAGGGTGACGACTCACCCCAGTCTCTCCACCTCAGAACACGGTCAGTAGAAGTCTGCTAGTTTGTGATATATACACACTTGGTTTGCAAAATATTATAGATCTTCAGTTCTATAGAGGCTAAACACCTCAAGGCACCCTTGAAAAAAATGCCAGCTCTTTGCTTTTACTCATTTCTTAACTACAGAAAAGCAACAGAGTAATTCTTGCGTTGCTGTGGGCTTCGTAAGACCTTTGCAGGTCAGAGTGTTTTTAATGCTCTAGATTCCTATTCAAAATTTCTGGGTTTACTAATATTGCACAGCACCTTAAAAAGGGTCTCATGGCATATCAAGGTGTCAGGGCATCTCAGCTGAGAAGCAATGCTCTAGAGACTGGATTCCTCTCAGATATATGAATGATTATTGTCTGGTGTAGGACTTTCCTGATATTTGATTTAAGAATCAGCTTGCTGCCTAGGTTGAGTCACGTGATAAAAATACAAAAATATATTCATACCAAATATCATGGTTCATATAAACAAGCATGATAAAACCGGACATAACTTGACACTAGTTGTGAAGAGACTGAACACCACAACAGGAAATCCAAATCTCTGTATAACACACAGGAGGCACGTCTATCTGTTCATTAATGCGTTTTTGCTACTGCACATTAAAGATAGTACCTCTAATGTGAGGTACTAAATAACTGTGCATTAGGCTGCTCTAATGCACAGTAGTGAAAGCACATGCTTTATAGTGATGCTTAATCTGCAGTTGCCTAATTTTACTGCACATTAGCATATTAGCATGGTTTTTGACGTGACCCTCTAATGTGCAGTAAAATAAGGCTACTGTGCATTAAAGCACACATGTACATATGCCAAGGGTACCCCAAAGTTAATCCCAGCTGGTGTATCCAAGACAACTGGCACTCCAGGTATGGGTGCAGAGGATTACTAGGATTCGATGATGGCTATTCTGGTGGGTTATGATGCCACTTGGACAGAGAAACCTGGGCAACAGTCAACAGGATGGAAAACAGGGCAGATGGAGAAAGGGGGTATGATGTTTTCTTACAACCTCACCAGGAATAGAGATTCTCTAACTCAGGGGCACAGGATTGGAAGGGGACCCTAGGCCATGGAGTCCAGTCCCCCGCATTCACAGGCAACCATCAACCAAACTGTTACACGTGCTTCCAAAGAGTTCAAGTCCTTCAGCTGGAAGCTGAAGTCATTTCCATGTAACCAGAGACCATTTTTTAGAGCTGGCTAGAACTCACTGCTGCTCAGCAAAGCTCACAAGGCTCTCAGCCGGATGGATCAGTGCTCCTCAGATGCATGTCACACAGGCTTACTGCTATAAAGTACCAATGCTATTCCAACAGCATTTGATTTGTGCAACTTTAACACCCAGTGTGTTAGTTTATAAAAAGCAAATTCACACTTTACCTTCTTCACACTCCCCCGGGTGATTGTGGATAAAGTGCTAGAGAGAATTCGAGGCGTAAGACCACGGAAGAGTCCTGTTTTCCCATCCACTTTGACTATGTGTCTGGCTGGGTAAAAAAACATTACACTTGTGTCAGTCATGATAGAAGCACCTTACCAGAGAAGACTGTAGCACAACACCTCTGCAGCCTTGCTAACTCCCACTCTAAGCAGCACCAGGACCTGGCACCTGGTTGAATGATACAGCATGGGACCGCAAGTGACTTACTGAAAAGACCTAAATGAGCTTCCTAACAGATGCAAAAGATTACGACAGCACCAAGCCATAAAAGATCCTTTAAGCATCTTCTTCTGCAAGAGATGAAGCACCGGCCATAATGCCCTGGACTAATTCTGATTTTTTGAGTGTGTTCTGCCAGTCTGAAAGAGTTACAAGAGCTTTTGAATGGAAGAATTTCTCATTTGCTATGTAGCACTGTTTCCTCCTTCCACCCTAGGGCAGTTAGTATGGGAGAGTGGGCAGTGACAGTGCTGGCACAGAACTCAGGAGAGCTGCCACAGACTTTTTATATGACCTCAGAAAGTCATCTGGTCTGGACAGGCTACAGAGACTTAAAGAAAAAAAAAAAAAAATCAATAAAAGTTTGGTACCTAAATATGCTTGTGGATATTGACTTCCATTTCCCAGTCAGTTAGCTAGAGATAATAGCACTGCCCTCTACCAGAAGGGAATTGCAAGGGTAATACATTAAAGACTGCAAGGCACTTGATAACACAAAAAGTGATGGCCAAATAGGCGTGCAAGGTAAGCTGGCAGTTTGCTCAATTCTTTGAACAAAATGTGTTCTATCAGATTTCTGTCACTGCACAGCAAAGGATCCTAGATCATCTGGGAAGAGAAGCAGCACGTTGCTGCTATACCTGGTTTCAGTGCAGTTCATCAAAAACCAGGTGACCAAATATTTAAGCATACTACTCCCACAACCCCATTCCTTGCTTGTAAGAAGCTATGCTTGATCTCTGGTGCAGATCACATGGATTCCTTCCCCCGCCCTCCTCCAGGAAATCAAACAGTATGTACATATTTATGAAAATACATCATCCACCACTGAAAGGTGTTATGGGAAAACTGGTACTTTACAAACTTTCAGAGCCAAAAAAACACAAACCTTTTACTTTGTTACTGTGCTTTGTATTCCATCCCCATCAGTTAACAGGCATTTCAGCTCAGGTTTCAGGACTCTAGCTCTCTTGGCTCTTCCCTTTAAAAATAGTTTCCTCTAGAAGGATTATGAGCCTTTCACAAAGGACAAAGAGCAATATGTCCAAGGCCACTGAGAAATTCACTATCAGTACTGAGATTAGGATGTAGGAGTGTCTAACCCGAGCTGTTCTCTTACTGCTATTCTTCTAAAGAAAAATGTAACTTTTTCTCTCCCAGTATCTTACCCTGCCCTGCTTGTCTATTCTTTTTCTTGTATATATCTGTTCTTTAAAAGCTCCCAGCTACAGTACTAAAGCACACCTGGGGCCCAAGTTACCACACAGCTATACTGTGAAGTGTTGGGAGGAGTTTAAATATCCCTTATAGCCATGCTAAACCCTTCAATCAGAACTACAGCTGGTTATAACCCATACTCATGCTCATCTACACTAAAAAAAGCAAAAGAGTACTTTTAAGTGGACCTGGGAATGACAGGATTAAGTAACCTGATTAAACAAAGACCAGACCTTAATGGAAGGCCATCTCCACAACCTTAACCTCAACTCTTTAGTAAAAGTGCAGTCATCCAAGTCTTTTAGATTCAGCTCTTAACACACATCTCTCCTGCTTCTTGTAACAACTGTAACATAAATATGGCTGAAGATTTGGACAAAAATATTGAGACAGCAATTAGTCAAAATATTTTAGGTCTCATCTAAGCAAATGATTGAACTATTGGCAAAGAATCCTCTAAGTGCTGCCAAGATAAAGAGGCAGAAACACTGGCATTTATCAGAAATACAACAGAACCATTTCAGGATGCTATTGTATTACAGCCAACACTGAACACACAATAGTTTTAGCCAATTTAAATAAATTCTTCATTCTTCACACCTTCCCTTCCAGAACAGTGTTATGCTTTCACCAAAACATGCTCACCATAAGTGAAAAAGCCAGGTAGGTACAACACTTTTCTTCCCAGTACATTTCTCCCAAGGGTTGGAGGTAGAGGCTCATGTCCCACCTTCAAAAGAAACACAAGTCAGCAACTGTTTCTTACAGGGCTTCCCCAAAAGCTGCTGGATTATAAGAACCTGCTCACCCGTAACACGTGCTACTCTCCTCCACTCCCCTATTGATGTGAAGCTCAGTGCAAGGACACCACTCCCTCTCACCCTCTTACTGCTGGGCACCCTCCCCCCCAACTCCTCCTCAAGGATCCTCTTGAGCAGCGGCTCTCTGCCTTTTTTGGACCATTTGTAAACACTGATGGCCAGTCTCAACCTCCTACCCTTCACTCCTGACCTACTGCCCCAGCGTAGGGGCCAGGGGGAGCCCCAAGCAGCTTGAAACTCTGCCAGCCTTCAAGGAAAAAGCCACGGTTCCCCCCGTTTCTCTCCTGTCAAGGAGAATCCATTCTTAAAGTTCCTTCACAACCCTTTCACCTCTTCCTGCAACCCGCGGGTTGAGAAACCCTGCTCCGATGCTTTCACACGCTCTTATCTTCCCGAGCAATCGCCGCTCAGCAAGGCCAGGCTCCCTCACGCCACGCTCGCCATCCCCATTTGAGGCACCTTACGGACCGCATTGGAGATGCCACTGAGGGGCAGCTCCCCCCGTCCCCGCTGTACATTACATACATCACGAGCCACACGGGCAAATCGCGCAATAAACCCGGACTGGCCGAGGGACGGTCACACTGTCTGGCTACGAGAAGAGCAGGCTGGCAACCGAGGTGGCGCTT